GACAGTGGCATGCATGCACGCCAGAAGCTTGTAACCCTTTGGCTGCTAGAGATGTGGGTTAATGGGTTTGATGGACCACTGTAAGAGTCATGCTAAGGGAACACGAGTTCTGCTGCAAACACTTGCACTTTCACACGGAAACCTTCTTGAGGAGAACAAACCAAAGGGGAATGGGTAAAACCTGGCCAAAGCAGGTCCTTTTCAAAGTGAGGCCTGTGCTCTGCAGTGCTCGCCGCACCCTGACAAAGAACGCCAGGTTGAGAAACTCAAGTGAGTTCAGCTTTGTTTCCAAAATAATACTCTTTCCCTTTAATCAGAGAGATGTTAAACAGGTTGAGCTCTGCAAACTCAGCCTAGAAACATTCTCATTACGTACAACACAGAGGTGAATTGCTACCAATGCAGATTTTAGTTCTCCTAAGAGTTGCTTTGGAAGACTGCAGCTAGAACTGCAGGGTTTATGTTCCTTTCCCTTGGTGGTATGAAGGATAACAGAGCAAAATGTCTGTTACATTTTCTTTCACCACTCCCTGGTTCTTGTGAATTAAAGCTACACCTCCTCAAATCGCTGCACAATTCACTGCAATGTGAAAATGATCAGTCAGCAAGAGCCTCTAGATAACTGCTGGTGTCTTTGAGCTGGCAATAAATATTTTTCTTTCCGATGCTAGTTGTGTATTTAACTTCCAACCAAGAGGAAACTTTGGAGAAGTATGTTCTTATTGATCACACAAGGAGCGGTACTTCTGAACTCTCTGGGGTTGCTTTCAGAAAATGTCACCCAAGGAGAGACTCAACAGTTTATGTGGTGTGGGAGTACCAGATCAAGAAAAACAAGAGAATGTTATTGTGAGTGTTTTCCCACGTTTTGGAGCACATACACCAGGAACTTGGGCATTTGTATTTGTCATGGAAGAAGTAAAGGTTATATGCTATTTTCAAGACACAACAGCTCTATTTTTGAAGGCACCATTTGGAGCATGAAACATGACAGGCTGAGGAAATAGGTATGGTGGTTCAAAGATTTGGCTTAACTTACTGCTGAGCAAGAAAGTTTGTTTCTTTTTGTGTGAAGCACTGACAGTGTTTACACTTTCACAAACTGTAAAATGTGTAAGGGGGTAAAATCAGGAAGGCAGGAAACTGGAGATGTTCTTAGTCCTGGAGGTCTAATTAAGTCCATCATCTTCCCTATGGCTGCAGCCACATATAGGATAACCAGAATGTGTTTATATGGTTCAATACAAGAGGTAGTCATGCTGCCTCCAAACTGAGTTAGCTTTAATAGCAGAGTAATAAATCTGTGTTATTATTGAATTCTGTCTCAGCTTATAATGTAGCTCATAAGATATCATGAGCTCTGTCCTGGCATGGAGGGCTCTTTCTGGTCTCTAAATTAGCTCAGGGGTCTTCTCACAAAGCAGGGAGTTGTAGAAGTCAGGCACTTGCATTTTCCAGTGGTCGCATATTGCTGTATTCACTTTGGGCAGCCCAGACTCTCACAAATCACTGCTGAGTGACATAAAAAACTCTGCTATCAGAAGCACTGTCCTCACTCGCTTGAGACAAGGGTGAGAACATGGGTTCCTCTTGCCTGTTTGAGATAGCAGTATCTTGTTTAAGACTAAATTGCTCAGAAAATTGCCAGTTAGAAGGAGTTTTGAAGAGTGGCTGGTGTGTAGCTGCCCACAAATGCTTTCATAGTGTTCACTGGTGCTCTTTCAGCTGGTGGAGGAACTCAGAAAGGGAGAAATGGGACTGGCACCAAAGCATTTACAGGATGCTGCTGGTATTCAAGGACACTTTTGTATAAGTACGTTTCTTTTCTCACAAACACATTTTAACTCTTAAACAGCCAAAAATCACCACCATTTTTGGGGCTGAGAAAATAGATCTCAAAATGTTTTTACAAACTCAGTTGGATACCCTGTAACCTGCTGCTTCCTCTGTTTCAATTTTTGATTTGGTGACAGGTGGACTGGACCCTTTCAGCTTTTAATTGCCCTTGCTTTACAGCCAAGAATACACTGAATTGGTGTTGCACCCATGAGGATTCTTTGACCTGGAGGTCACACTTTTAAGAAAAAGCTTTGTATATAATTTATTATATTATTAATATAATAAAATAATAAATATAAATATATATAAATATAATAAATATAATAATTTATTTATATTTTATTTATATTTATTTATATTTTTACTCAACATTGAAGACAAAACCCCCCACAACACTGGAAGATAAGAAAATATTTGGGACTAAATTAGCTATTTACTTGTCTGTGTTTTTTGACCAATTTAATTCTTCTAATTTTGACATTGTAAAGGAATTTTAATTCTTAGTTCTATTTGTAAAGAACTAAGCTACTTGAGTGTTTCTGGCTGGCACAAGATAAAATAAGCATCTCAAATATTGAAACAGTTGCAATTATTGCTGCACAAAGCCTTTGTTGCCTTTTACTCTAGAAAGGTAAGATGTTTACACACTTTGGTCTTAGAATACTGATAGCTGCTGCTTTTTGCAAAGGGCAGATGAACTCAGGATACTTTTCTTCAAAAAAACCCTGTAGACACTCACTCTTCATACACTCTACTGCCTTTGAGCTGTTTTTCTTCCAACATTGAAGGTGGTTTTTTCTCTTTTGTAGAACTGAGAGCCACAAAATTGGCTGTTAGGTGATTGAGCAATGCCTCCAAATGGTGTAGGCATCCTGCAACAGGCATGTCTCTTCTTGCCACATAGCCAGTGCCCAGCAGGCTGGGCGTGTTCCCAATCTGCTTCCATACAGTCACAGCATTTGGAACACTACTTCAGGAAAAACACCTGGGTGAGCCTGGCGGGGGAGGGAGCTGCTGGCATGGGCAAGGTTCCACCCCACATGTCTGCAGCCACCAGGCACAGCTCCCTGAGCCCCCAGCCCTGGTGCTGCTCCCAGCCAGGGCTTGGTGCTCTACCATCAGCTGCTCTTGGGAAGCAAGGCTGAGCTTTGGCAGCAGGGAAGGTGGAACTTCCAGGACTCCTGGTGTCTCAGAACTTGCTGGGGAGGCAGCTCTGCTCTGAGTCTGCTCCTTGGCCTGGGAGTTTTGTATCTAACCACAATCAATTGTGCACCTTAGAAAAAACATCACCTCTAGATGTTCTTGTCATTCCAACCTTTTGCCAGAAGTATCCAGAACTCTTGTATCCAAGAGCAGCAAGGTCACCATTGCTGAGAAACATCTCTTATGGCCAGGTGCCCCTTTTTTTGCTGTTTTAAAGCGGTAACAGAGAGATTGGGAATAGGAACACCTTAAATGGGGTATGTTGAGCAGTGTAAGAAATTCCTCTCCTTAACCGTTTCTTCTGATGCTCTGCCTGAGATGCTGTCCTCCCTCCTGTGCCTCCACACTGCATACTCTACCTCTGAGCCCCCCGTAAACTACTAGAAAGAAGAGTCTGAGCTAAAACTCTGGGCTAGAAATGTAAGATGTAAGATGTTCTGTAAGATGTTCTTACATCTCTGGGCTAGAGATGTAAGAACACAATTGCTGTCCCTTTCAGTCTTCTCAGGCAGCTGCCTGTTTACTGGCAAAACAACCCAGTTGAAAAGCCCTACAAGCAGACAGAAACTTTGTGGGATAAGAAAGAGAATGGAGATTAAATAAAACTGAAGATATAGTGCGATAGCTAGAACAGAGCAGGAATCATAAAGCAGGGAGAATGTGGGAAAGCGAACAAAAGGGAAACTGGTTTTGGTGGACTGAGGGGTAGAAAAGGATAGCTGGAAAATCCTGATCCATTTTTCCTGCCTAATAGTAGTGGTGGTGTGAGCCCTGGAGAAAGACGGATTGAACAGTGAGTTGTTACTCACTGGGGACAGGTCAGTTGCTTTCACGCTTACCTGACTCTGGTCAAGGGAAAGACAGGACACTTTGCATTTTATTACTTCCATGCTTAAAGCAAACAAATTGATAGGTAACTTACTCAGTTTCAGAGGGAACTTTTACTGAACAGCATGCACTGCATTTAAGTTGAATTGTAATTATTGTCAGGGTTGTTTGGGCTGTGATAATTTTTTGCCACTGCTGTTGTATATATTTGGTTAGAAGCCAACACTTGACAAAGACATAGTGGCTTAGATGAGGGGATGAAATCTGCAGATGCCTAGCAGACTTTAACTGCTTACTCAATTTAATACACAATTTAAAATGTGTCAAAGTGGCTTTTTTAGATCCAGAAGAAGAGACACTTTGATCTCTTTGAGCAGTAGTTGTTACTCAAGTCTTGAAATATTAAATAAATATTATTTTTCCAGTTGTTATGCCAATGCAATATGCTTTACTTTAACATGTTAAAACATAAAAATCTATAATATGAAAATGAAAGAATTAATATCCGAAATAAGCTTTCTGAATTGAAGTGGTTCTAAATTTGGACCAAAATCAGAGATCCAATTTCCCTACAAAGCAGATTCCAAATCCTTAACTCCATTTAGGACACAGAGCTAAACTTAGGCTGAAAGACAGAAATCACTGAATTTTGGCATTTATGGGTTGTTTCCACACCTTTAAGTTTGCAGATTGGTAGTGCTTTTACAAACACTTTGTTTCAAAGGAAGATTTTATTAGTTCCAGGAACAGTTTAATTGTCCTTGTCTATACAAAAGGAAGCTGGTTTTATGGCATCAGCTGAGGTAATATTTGCTATTGAAGGACAGTGTCCAGTTTTACACCTTTAAGGCCATTTGTCTCTTAATTCTTAATTGCTAAAACTAAACAGCAAGCTCTCACCCAAGCCCCCATTTCATCCTGTATTAGAAGACCAATCTGGAATTTTATGCCTTCTGCAGTTAGTGCATGATTTCTTGTGAAACCGAAATGTTCACCTACAAGTGGAGAGAAAGCTCCCATGTTTTCTTTCCTGGGAGACAATCCTCTTTTCACAGGTTTTTAAATTAACCTTTAATTACTAACCAGAGAAAAACAACCTTTGTTTTTTTGCATCTTCCTTCTGATTTCAGCCTGGGGAAGAGCCGCTGCTGCCACATACCTGGTTGGCTTCCTACTTCTAGTCATCTGTTTTGCACTGGCCATCATAGCATTTGCCATCGACACTCTTCGGTTCAACTTCATTCGTGGGATTGGAGGCTTGCTTTTCGTGGCTGGTAAGGCAGCATGTGGAGTCAAGTTTAGCTTGTGCATATATATCCATACTAAAACTGATATCTTCCTCAGGTGATCCTATACCCATATACCCAAGTCTCTGTTGTGTGCAATTGAGCTCTCTATGAAAAATCAAAGTCTCTCATGGCACTGGATCGATTTTCAGATCCTCCAAAACATGGATGGATTTAGCTACAGAGGTTATGAAGGATAGCAGTGGTGCTGGGTCTTAAACATTTTTTTGTTTTCTCCTGTTTCTTCAGCTGTGTTCTCCATCATGGGCCTGGTGATTTACCCAGTGAAGTTCTCATCTGAAATTGAGATGACAGGAGTCAATATGTTCAGCTGGGCCTATGGCTTTGGCTGGACCACTGCCATTATGGAAATATGCCTGGGATTCTTCTTCTGCTGCCTTCCTAACTATGAAGATCAGATCCTGGGTAATGTCAAGCCCACATATTTTTACTCTTCCCCATAAGCACCAGGAAAAATGTGTTCATATTCCAGAGATACATGACAGACTAGCTATGTTTTTCAGAATATTCTCATCAGATGTTAGTAGAAAAGGCTGGAAACTTTTCTAATGTGTGTAGAAATACGCCACTGGCATCTGCAGTAAAGTTATCTACTCTATTTTGGACCTTCATATCTGATGTGGGTTGGTCAGATAAAGCACAAATGTTAAAACCTCTTCGTTTTCCTCATTTATTCCCATGAGTGGGGTTTATGTGGATTCCACTGCATTGTAAATACATTCATAATTGTAATTAAATTCAGAAAAACTTATTAAACTGGCAATAAAAAAACCCAATGCATATCATCTTCCTGAAGGAAACTCAAAATAACCCCATTTTGTATGTATCATCTTTAAAATCTGAATATTTTGCACAATTTTTTAAAAAGTCAAATACATTTACCCAGTGACAGCCAGCACTTCTGGTGCTGGCTGTCAGTGGGTAAATGTATTTGACATTTACCCACTGACAGAAGCTTTGCTTCTATTTTTCATTCATTCACTTAAGCCATAAGGACAGAGTAAAGAAGGGATTAAAGCTCCCTACCAGAGACAGCATCTTGACTTTTCCTCATTCATGTGGTACGTATTTATTTCTAAATATTTGCAAAAGTCAGCAAGGAACACCAGTAAAGCCTTAAGAGTCCTGGTGTGCCATTTGTGGTGCCAGTACAGAGTGGGAAGAGGCAGAAGGGATTTCAAGCCACCCTGCAACCTGCAGACCTGGTTTGATAAAACTCCTGGGGTGGCTTTCTTCTTGGCTGTCTTAATATTTTTTTCTGCTGTATCAAAACCTATGACTTTAAAATACTGGCCCAGCTTTTTTATCCAGTGTAGAAAGGTCAGGTATGATTTCCCTGCACCTCAGGAGCTGAGCTGGAGCAGTGTGAGTGTAAGTACTATACAGTTGCTAAAAGGCTCCTTTTTTTGTTCATGTGCTGTTCTTAAGTATTTTTAAAGTGGAAAGTGTATACTGTCATATGTAACTGTAAAATGCATAAATACCCCTTACCAACTCATACTAAAGCTCTATAAAAAAAATCACATCATAAAACATCTTCCAGCATCCTATACTCCACAGTGCCTCAAGCCTCAATATACTGCAAGCAATGAAGTATACTCAAGACTCTGCTGGTTTCTGCCTTGTTAAACCTACTTTATAACATCCAGTTCATTCTCTTAAGTGAAAAAAAAGGATAATATGTGATGTGGAAAAGGAGTCTCATCTAAATCCTTAACTACTGAGGTTTATTAGCTTGTAACACATCTGCAATTTTGTAATTGTGTACTATGAAAAGCCCTGCCAAGTGTTCTTTGTTTCAACAAATTAGAGATGGAAATTTTTTCAGTTAAAACTTCTTGGTAGTTAAAATTAATAAAGACACAGGGCTTCACCTGGGTTGTTTGGAGTTTTTTGTTTGTTTGTTTGGTTGGTTGGTTGTTTGGATTTTTTTAAGCAGTTAACTCCATTCACTTTTATGGAGTGTCTCCTAACCTTGATCACTAAGACTGAGAGATGGGCAGAGTCTAAGGAATGGGGAGAGTATATGCAGCAAGGAATAATTAGGCAAGAACATGTGAATACTTTTAAAAAATATTTCCTAGCTGGAAGAAAATCAAAGTGAAATATAGTTGAGAACATAATTAGTATCAAATGACTTGTAATTCTTCGTGTAATATTATCCATTCAGGAGCAACAACTTACCATAAATATTTTCATTATGCTTATTACACCTAATAAGATATGGTATCTATGTATTATTTCAAAAATTAGTCTTAACTTTTGTTCTCTACTGAGAGTGGGGAATTGTGGAAGCCCCCAAAACCTCCTCCTCTCAGGCACCACCTTGGAGTACCTGAGTATGCTGGCTGAAATTTGACAGCCAGCATCACAACTACAGCTTGTCCTATTCTTCAGTCCTACGCTGGTTGTCTCCCAAGGCCTTGCTCACAAGCACACGAGAACAGTGGACACTTATGGACCACACTGTCTGCTTATGGGCTTATGGAGTTGAGTGCCTGTGCATGTCATTCTGTGCCATGATGTGCCACAGATGGTAACACACTCGTGTTCACCAAATAGGAAACCAGCACGGTCCTGCTCAGTGCTTTTGCTCCACCAGATGTGGCAATCCTCTGAGGAAGCTAAAGAGAACTTAAGCAACCACCATTTGTGTTTACAGCTTCTTTTGCGTTAGCTGGACACCGACAAAACGCCTGGAGGTGGGGAAAGGTGCACAAAACAAGGTTTAGGAGTGTGACTCCAACCTTGATGAGACAGCAGAGCATAATTAAAAAGCAAAGAAAATCGCCAGTGATCATCCCCCTTCCTCTCTCCTCTCCCTTGCTGATCTCGGCAGTTTCATCATCTCCTCTCTTCCCTTTTCCTCCTCCTCCTCCTCCCTGAAGGTGTGTGAGCAGTGACAGGTCTGGTGAATCTGCGGGACACAGCCCCAGTCTCCATTTCCCACTGCCACTTTGCATTCCTGGGAAAGAGGAGGAATGAAGCAACTTGCCAACCCCAGCACAGCATCAGGGACTGTAGCCTGGTTCCCTGCCCCAGGCTTTCACTGGAAAGCCTTTTTCTTAAAGCATGGGTGGATGGGTATTCAACAAGAAGAAGTATCACAGGTATTAGTAATAAAATTAAATCCTGCCTTTAGGGTAGCTTGCTTGCAGTCATGACAGTCCAGTTCAACACAGATTCCTAGAAAAACACATCCTAAACCCTGCAGCAAAAAAACAGTGAGAAGGATAACACTGTTTTACAGATGCCAGTGCTGTTTCCTGTGAATTCTGCAGCAGGGGTGAATGGCAAAAACAGCATGCAAAGTATAATCGGTTCTAAAATATAATGGAAGCTAAATTCAGGACCCAATGGTGTGCCTCAATTTATTATGTTATTAACTAACAATCAATTGCTGGCTTTTGAACTAAATTGTTAAATTTAAGGTTAAGTGCAGTGATAACTAAGCAAATTGTTTGATTGATTTGATCTAAGTCACAGTCAGAAAGCTTGGATTTTCAAGCAAAGGAGAAGTTAGAGGAAGAGAAGACATCTCCTTAGTTCTTCACCTCTGTTAGCCAGGTTTCTCGATCCAAGTCTTCTCTATAAGAGAAAAGGACACTGAAACACTAAGAGCAACACAACAAAGGACTTAAACTTTCATTGTGCCCAACAGCAATGCTAAAGAAAGAGCAGGGAAGAACAGATGTCTGAAGCTTTTGGGAACATTAGGTCCGCTACAACAATAGAAATAAAGATGACTGCCAAAGGCATTGCTTCTATTCCTGTCAAATTAAGAATTAGGGAAACGTCCTCCAACAAACATGTTTTATCTAATTCAACTTCGCCACTGAAAAGCAATGAAGAAATTGTGTTGAAAATGAGTGGAATGCCAAGCAGCCCTACAGGTACAAACTGAAACAAAAAAAACCAAAACAAAAAAAAAAGAACTTCCTGCTGGTAAGTTCATATTTTCAATTTAATTTCTGGTGTTTCTGCCAGAGTTTGAACATCTTAGTCTTTTCAGTTTTCTCTGCAAATATGTCCATATTTCACTTTACATTTCTCAGGCACCTGCCACTTGGTCTTAAAATACATCCTGCTTAATCAATAATTCAAATGCGATCTAGTTTGCAGTTGTATTCGTTGTGCATATTTTGTTGTATGAACTGCTGACAAGACCGAAGTTTTGACCCCATTGACATCACTTGCAAAACATATTTTTTTTCTTGAGTGTGACACTTCATTGTTGAAGTGTAAGCCTTTATTTTATGTGTTCAGAATCAATAATATCTCTAATGCATGCTCCATTCAGCAGCTCTGTTTACTTCTGGAATAGGACACTGGTACATATAAGAAAGAAGAGTTACAGCTGACATATAATTTCCAAAATAAAGAACAATTTAATGTGTGTAAGATTAGCACAATTTGGGTCATAATTAAATCATGTTTTGTTAGATGCACAACATGGTCACATGAAAAAGCTTAATCTTTCCTTTTGACACATCTCAGTTGTATGACAGTTACTCTTGTAATTCAATCTCTTGGAACACTTCCTCACACATTTCTATATCCAGTGGATTTCTCTGTGTTCTGAAAATAAACATATTCAAGAAAAGAATGAAACAATCAAGTTCATGATAAGGGAAAAAGGGATTGGCCTATTGGCATACTCTGTCAGACAGTGGGATTCAAACCATCTTGTTAGAAGGATAGTGATCTGAACAAAGAGTTCCTTCTGAATCATATTGGAAATTCCAACTTGAAATTTAAAAGATTGAAAATAATGGGGAGAGATGAAATCAGCTGGGTCTTCCTTTATCTTTTTCCACACTGTCAAAATACGGCTTTTGCCAGAAATTTTGTTTTCAAGAAAAAAATTATTGCTTTGGTGTGGTGCAGCTCCATAGGAATCTCTGGGCCTCAGTTTTATCTGCAAAATTCTTCAGTGCTAAGTGCCAAAATGCAAACAAGCACCTGCATAACCTTAAGGCTGCAGACAATTCTGATGGGGCCATCAGAGCTGTTTTCATAGATGGTTCCTTAAATGACTTGACACGTTAGGGCTCATACGCCCATCTGCACACAGTGGTGAGTTAGATTTCCTGCATGTAAAGCGATGCACTGATTTTTTTTTTTTTAATTTTGTTTTTCATTTTTCATTATCAAAGTGAAAATGTGGACGTATCACAGGATTTTGCATGTGACTGCTGGGAGTGAAAAAAATTTACAGGAACAACTTTCAAAATCTCAAACTTGCAAAGTTTTCCTGTGTAACATGACAGTGGTGAGATTAGATCAAACTGTCCTCTCTTGGGCAGCTTTTATGAGACATCCTTTTACTTGCGCCCTAGTTTGCCCAAGCCATCTGTTTTTTTGTAAAAACAGTTTTGTGAAAACCTACTCTAGTATCATAATGAAAGGAAATTATATTAGGTATCCATGGAGAATCCATCATAAAACACTTTAAATTGCCCTTGATTGTTCAAATGCAGATGAAACAGAGAGGCAGATTTTGTCTGTAGGATTTTTCCACAGATAGTGTAAATCCAGAAGATTTAATTATTGGCTGTAGACCTGGCTTACATGCCCAGCTCCCCATTTCTTACAAAGTAACT